ATATTACAATAGTGATAATGTTTTGAAGGAAAAGTGGAAAATGTGAAAGCGATGTCAAAGTTTAGTTAAAATTTTATCTATAGGATGATATTTAAACTGATATCTAAAGGATGAATAACTATGTAAATATTGATTTTTATATTTTTACTTTGTAAGTGGACACTTTAGTGAATCTTATTTCTAGGTATAATAGCTTTTAAATTGATTTCTCTAAGGTTTAAATGTAGACTATTACGTCAACTGCTGATAATGAAAATTTTCATCTTTTCTAGTGTGAATTGGTGAAACTTCCAGGAAATCATACTAGTAATAGTGGGCATCAGCTTCTTACACTTGCCCATAACTAGACTAAGTGTGGTTTTCTCTCCATTGGTATGTTGTATCTTACGTTATTAAATTAATGTCAACAATATATTCTGATTGCACCTCATCTTTAAGTTCATTTGTTTAAAGGTAGCATCTTGTCCAAGAAATATTTGAATAAGAATTCAGATTTATCTGTAAGTGCAGGTAATAACTATGTGTTCATTATATGAAGAAAAACTATTATTTTTCTTCTTTTAATATTCATAGTGATAAGTCAACATGTTATTCAGAATGTATTAAATACTTCTGACACAAGGTTCTTTTCCTACTGTATACGCTGCACAAAATTCTAACAACTAAATAGATGTAGAGTGATAAATTTGCACCATCTTGTGTCCATGTAAGACTCATACTTAAATATCAAGAGCTAATTTGGTCTTACAGTTTCAACTTTACAAACGTAGTATTTACCTGATTTGGGATTATTAACATTCATAATTCAGATTACTAATATTTCCTGTTTTAGAAAACATATAGGCATATTGAAGAAAGTGGTATATGCAGAACATCTGTGTTACTATGAACAATGTGTGACTATCATTTGTGATCTGCTGTACACATTAATCATTTGTAAATCTAGTCTGATAGTTTTAGAATTGGGTTTCATCGTATTACATGGCTTGCAATAAATTGTACACATATTGATTCTTTAAGTATATTTAATCACATTCAAGTAGTCAACATTTCTTTTGTTACCAATCTCTCCAGTAATTATTTACCCGTACTGACTTCATTTTAGATACCTGGAAATGAACATACATATTGTGTTTGAATTATTTCATGGGTGGTAGAAATCAATAAACTTAATTCCTTAATTACTCTTCTATTTCAAATCATTTCACATTAAGAATCATAATTATGTCTCTGCTTTTGATATTAAAACAAACAGAATTCTGTATAGTAATGTGAGACAAGAGTGACTTATACTCAATATATGATCCAGTCCATTTTGATTTGCTACACCAGCTATGAAACGGCGAGGCAATAAATATGTCAAGGGAAAATTGTGAGGAAATTAGTTTAAACTGAATAAAAAAAGACCGCTCTCTTTCAAAACAAAAATCTGTGGTCATTAACAGTACTAAATCTCTTATAAGCATGTTAAGTAACATTTTACAGTACACTACCCATGAATCATTGCTGAAAATATTGATGCACTAATTTCTCTGACTTCTTCATGTAGAATATTTTTGAAATATTTTTAAAAATAAAATTTCAGGGGCGCCTGGGTGGCTCAGTCGGGTAAGTGTCTGACTTTGGCTCAGGTTATGATCTCACAGTTTGTGGGTTCAAGCCCTGCGTTGGGCTCTGTGCTGACAGCTCAGAGCCTGGAGCCTGCTTCAGATTCTGTGTCTCCCTCTCTCTCTGTGCCTCTCTCCTGCTTGTGTTCTCTCTGTCTCTCAAAAAAACAAATAAACGTTAAAAAAATTTTAAGAAATAAATAAAAAATATAATTTCAGGAGCGCCTGAGTGGCTCAGTCAGTTGAGCCTCTGACTTCAATTCAGGTAATGATCTTGTGCCTTGTGAGTTTGAGCCCCGCCATCAGGCTGTGTGCTGACAGCTCAGAGCCTGGAGCCTGTTTCGGATTCCGTGTCTCCGATTCTCTACTCCTCCCCTGCAGCACACTCTGTCCCTCTCTGTCTCAAAACAAATAAACTTAAAAAAATTAAAAATAAATAAAGTAAAATTTTAATTGGCTGCATCTTTTCCACTTAAAACATTATTCATCTGGAGCACCTGAGTGGCTCAGTCGGTTAAGCATGCAATTCTTCGTTTCAGCTGGGGTCATGATCTCAGGGTTTCCTGAGTTAGAGCCCCACACTGGACTCTGTGCTGACAGTGCAGAGCCTGTTTGGGATTCTCTCTCTCTCTCTCTCTCTCTCTCTCTCTCTCTCTCTCTCTCTCTCTCTGCCCCTCCCCCACTCACACTGTCTCTGTCTCTCTCAAAATAAATAAAATTAAAAAACATTTAAAATAAAGACAAACATTATTTATCTTGTTTACAAAGTTTATATCATAGTCATATATACTATTTTCAATTTCCCCAGGAGTTAATTTAAAAACATTGACGAAAAAGATATACAGATCTTAAATTTATTTTATAAATATGCATAAATATTGTGTACAACATGCTTAGATTCTTAGGGACAATTCTCAACAAATGCAGGACAAGAGTCAAAATTATCAAGTGGACACTGGAATGCTTTCACATAGCTCCTGAGAGGTTCATTTGGAAGCTTGCATCCTGATCACAGAGCAGTAGCTTACTCTTGAATTCCCAGACTTTAATGACTTTTTTTCCCTGTCCAGTCCCCCACTTCTGATATATGTGATTGCTTTTGTAAATAGATTATCTGAACCAAAGCCTTATTTTTGAAGGAGCCTTAACTAAGACACATAGAGAAAAAACAAAATAAAACAAAAAAATGTTAATGAGTTTTGCTATAGTCAAGGATATATAAAAAGGTACTGTTAACAAATTATATGCCTGACTTTTCTTCTCAGAAACTGCTATAATATTAACCAGGATTAGAACGGGTTTAGGATTGGTAGTATTTAGCATGAAACAGACATGTTTATTTAGATAAATATAAAGAATATAAGGCTTTTTGCATTCATAGGTGAAAGAAATAAAAAAAGATAAAGAAAGGAAGGAACGAAAGGAAGAAAGGAAGGAGAAAGAGAAGACAACGAATGTGTGTGTGTGTAGAGAGAGACAAAAGACAGAGACAGGAAGAGACAGAGATGTGACAAATAGAATTCAATTTAGATTATTAGTATCTGATAAAATATCATCAAAAGTATGTCAATATATTGTCAAAAGAGGATAAATCTAATAAAGATTTATAGTTATATCATGAATAGCTAGAATTCTTTCAAAAGCAGTTTATTCATATATCACAGTCATTATAAAAAGTAGTGATATTTTTCAATTAATTTAAAGAGGTAATATGAATCATGTGGAACATTTATTTCCTCCATAGTGATTTTCAGCAAAATTATATGTATTACTGAACAATTGCATGCTACCCCAAAAAGTATATATATATTTTTTTTAATTTTTTTTCAACGTTTTTTATTTATTTTTGGGACAGAGAGAGACAGAGCATGAACAGGGGAGGGGCAGAGAGAGAGGGAGACACAGAATCGGAAACAGGCTCCAGGCTCCGAGCCATCAGCCCAGAGCCCGACGCGGGGCTCGAACTCACGGACCGCGAGATCGTGACCTGGCTGAAGTCTGACGCTTAACCGACTGTGCCACCCAGGCGCCCCAAAAAGTATATTTTTATGTAAATTGTTATATATCTGGCTTGTGGAATATGACAAATCTATCACACTTATAAATAATTTTCAATTGACATGACAACATGAAAAATTTATTTATAAAATTTAAATATGAACACAGAATAACTGAAAATATAAAGACGTTTTTATTTGTGTCAGGGTAACAGGTTCTTTCAGGTGACTTATGTTTCAATATTTTTCAAATTTTTAGAGTGTTTTATATTAATTTATATTACACCATTTCCAGTGAAATATAATTAGGTAGAGTTGCTGGTGTTTAAGGCTAACAAATACCAACCATCCTTTGTCAGATCTGTACTTCATCCTGATGTTTAGTTTGCATCTAGTTCAAAATTCCAATTGGTTCACAATTACTGCTAAATTTGCATAGTTTTTTTCAGATTTCAGTACTAGTACCCATACAATGATTATCCACTTACTGTCTTAGAAAAGGGGTTGATTTTAGAACATAATAGAACATGAGTATAGATCACTAATCTCTCTTCCAATATTTTTTTCCCAGCTAATCATGTGTTTATTATTCCAGATAATCCAAGTTATGCTGTCGAAAACTCATCCCCAAACCCTCAGTGGAATAAGTGTTCATTTCTCTCTCCAGTTGTGTGTCCAGTGCATGAACTATGGGCCATGCTTCAGAGGGTCCTTTATACTATGAAGTCAGCCAGAGGCTCAAACAGATGGATTCATCATGATACCAGCATCTCAATAGGTGACTTCAGAATACACTGTGTCAGGGGGACAGTAAACTTTAGAATAGCATAAACCGCTTTGTGTCATATTTCATTGGCACTCAAATGCCAAAGGACTTAGATTATTTGGTGAAGATTACTTGTTTATTCATATGTTTGTACTTTTTTTTTTCTTTTTAACATATCATACACAGTCAACCATCCCCAGAACAATTCTAGAATGTTGATATGTGCTGTTTAGTAAGTTCAGTGGGAGGTTTGGCTGTGGCTCTTCAAACTACAAACTAAAGGATAAATTACTTTTCATCTGCTAACTCCCAATATTCAATGGTGAAATGTCATCTAAATATCTGTACTAAATACTCTTAATCAGAAAGGGAGGAATAGAAGACCCTCAGTAGAAAAGGACTGTAGCATTTCTGAAATTCTGCTGAATAGGCAGTGTGAGCAGGCCCTACAATAGTGTTTGTAAGTATTTATTAATTAGACCCTGATTCCACTCTATAGGATTTGTTTCATGTGGCACTCCTTCCTATGGTACTGTCCATGCCCTCAGGGATATGCTTCTTTATCCTTATTCTTCTTGGCTTCCCTTGGCCTTCTTTTGAGGGAATGTGCCTATCATGGATTTATTAAACTTTTCATTTTATATTTTTTAAAGTTTTTAAATATTTATTTATTTTTTAGAGAGAGAGAGACAGACAGAGAAGCAAGGGAGGGGCAGAGAGAAAGAGGGAGATGCAGAATCCGAAGCAGTCTCCAAACTCTGAGCTGTCAGCACAGAGCCCGACGTGGGGCTTGAACTCACAAACCTCAAGATCATGACCTGAGCTGAAGTGAAACGCTCAACTGACTGAGCCACCCAGGTGCCCCTATTCAACATTTTGAACTCATGTCCAATTAGAGGAATTTAGAGGAAGGGGTAAGTGTCAAACAACAAGATTTTTAAAATTTCACTATTGTTATTCTGGGTCTGCACTTGCTTTAGCATAAGGCAGTAAAATTGTTATTTAAGTGATGCTAGCAAATATTTATACCTTCAAGTCTTATTAAGATATAATTTTCATATCTGATATATATATAATATCGATACATATGAAAATATAATTATATATGTGTATCTACATTACACACACACACACACACACACACACACACACACACACACACACACATATTCCTCACTTCCACCTCCAAAATGTCTTTAAATTTTAGGCTTAGAAAGGAGAAAAGTTATAGCCTGATTTTTCTCTAAATCAGCTAATTCAATTTTGAGGTTTAACTGTCTCCCATATCCTTAATCTGATCTTTGCCCTCAGGCACTTGAATCCTATAGGAATTTTTGAAATAAATGGGAAGGCTACACTCTTATTTTTATCTTTTCTAAAATGCTGAGTTTTGATAGGGTCTTGCCTCTTAAAACCTTTATCAATTATCTCCTACAGTTTGAGCCTCATAACATCAAGGTCCAGAGTTCCAGAATGTTTTTACTTCATTTCATTTTTTGCTTTCAGCAATCAAAATTCTTTACTTATCTCTTTCTGGTAATACCTGATAAAATTCAGTCAATAACAATCAAAAACACTAATGTTCTGTTTTTGAACTCTTCCCCTAGAGCTACAAAGTAATTGGGCAAGCAATAAGCCTCACAAGATTTTCAGAAATATGGTGTTACCAAATATTCTGCTACTGCTTAAAAGTAACATTTTTCCAGCCTCTGCAAATTGTTTCCTCCACTTCCAACTGATAAGCTTATGTCACACATTTTAGATTTGTTGAGATGGCACTCTACTCCTGAATCCAATGTCTGTATTAGTCAGGCAATCCCAGATCATGCTGCAGAATCAAATAACCCCAAATATTAGTGGTTTAAAATAAATACATATTTTGCTCATTCTCCATGTCCAACTCAAGTCAGTGGTTGAGCTGTGATCTACGTGGTTACTCAAAGTTCAAGACTATAGAAGCTCTACTAGAGCTAGTTTAGCACCAAAGTATCTTTGATTCAGCAATTTAATGATGCTCTTTATTTTATAGCATCATCATCTTAAGGCTTGTTCTCCTTCACAAGACAACTAAAATCACCCTATGTGTTCATGAGCCAGTGTCATGGAAAGGCAAAGGATGGCTTCCATATTATTCCAAACATACAATATGAAGTAATAATAATACACACACATCATTTATTCAATACATGCCAAACCATCTTCTCTTAATTTCCTAACTCTCTGTTTTAGCTACTTTTTATAAAATTGTACTTATCAATAATTTATATTCTATACTTGTTTCAAAAAGTTGAAATACACTTTGTTTACATCTTTCAATCCACAGATTGCAGAGTAATTTTTTCAAATAAAGTACAAAATAAGGGCATATTTTTCCAATTCTATAATTCTCCATTTGTTTAAATAACACTTATCTTTTAGTTTTCTTTGATGTCATTTTGTGAAATCTCCATAAATTTACTATCATCAATCTAATGCAGTATTTATCAGTTTCAACCTCTTCTTTGTGAAAAATTTACTATATCTAAGTAAGTGCCTGCTAAATAAAATCTATCATTTTTGTTTGTATACAAAAATCCTTATTTTACTATATTCTTAAAGATTAGCATAAGTGAATTTATAATACTATGTTGACATATAATCAATATTTTCTCTAGTTGTTGTTGAGAATTCTACTTTGTATTTGGTGTTATCAAATATGGTACCTCTATGTGTGGATCTAGTAATACTGGTCTTCTTGGACATGGTAGAAATTCCCTAGTTATTATTTCTTTGAAATTACCTATTCCTAGTGTTAGCATATTTCCTGGCTTTCATATGTGCCCAATATCACATTTGATCTAGCATTTTTCCTAGGTTTTTTTTTCTCTGTAATTACTTTATAAAGCATATTATTCATAATTTTAAAATGAGACAATTTGTTAGACCTCCAATTTGTGCTTCTAGATTTTAACAATGTCTAATCGAGTAGTTCGTGAGATGTATAAGCAGTGAATACATTTCCCACATAGGTACGAAGTTAAATCTGAAAGAACATTACCACTAACTGGCTTCTTTTTTATACCTTTCCATGATGTGAAAAAACTAGCATCTCCTTTCAAATAGTGTATGTAGGTTGTTCTCTGATAAAAAATAAATTCACTGGGTCAGGGAAGCCATATAATTCATCTTTTCACCACTTTTGATTTCAGGGTGATGAAAAAAATGAGCAATGCCATTGTCTCTACTGGCCACTTGGTAAAGCTACCAGATTTGACACAGCCATTGTCTGAGCCTTGAGATGTGAGAAGCCAAGTAAAGCTGCCAGCTGGGATCAGAAGTTAAGTATTTTTGCCATAAGTGCAATAAAACAGGAGATGAACATTCTTATAGTACTTCATACAGAGAACAAATAGAATGTCCTATATAAAGACTAGTTTTATTCCTTCATACCTTGCTACTAAGTGTGGCCCACGGATCAGAACATGGGCATCACCTGGAATTTGAAGAAAAAGAAAGTTACCAGTGATGCATATGCTCCAGATCTGCAAAACATGATGTGAGTAGCAAAAACTTAGTTTCTGACATAAATCATTCTTTTTATTAAGTAAATATGTACTATTCCATGATTCATAACACTTACCTTTTGCAATAAACACTTTCAGCAGCAATGGCCTCAAATAAATGAAACACATTTTGACGACAAGACAAGTACTGCATATTCATTTTACAAAAAAAGTTGATTCTGAATTGCTTATTTGTACAAAAGTATCTTAAATTTGTACAAATTTAACATTTACCAGTGAAAGTATAGTGATAACTACAGAAGACACAAATGTGATGATGCATTTTCAGTCTTCAAATTTTGATGTTATTTCAGGAAATAGTGCCTCTCACAGATAATTTTAAAAAAATGTTTATTTATTTATTTTGAGAGAGAGAGAGAGAGAGCACGACCAGAGAAAGAGGCAATGAGAAAATCCCAAACAGGCTCTGCACTGCCAGTGCAGATCCCGTTGCAGGGCCTGAACTCACAACCACGAGATCATGACCTGAACTGAAACCAGGAGTGGATGCTTAACCCACTGAGCCACCCAGGCTCCCCTGCAATGTATTTCTTATCCATGTTTTGGAAGAGTTTGAGTTTTCTTTTAAATAACCTTTTATTTGTGTGTGTGTGTGTGTGTGTGTGTGTGTGTGTGTGTGTGCGCGCGCATGTGTGTGTGTGTTTAATACTCTTTACTCTGTTCCAAGTGCCTCTAAAATACATTTGGATTATATCTTTGACATTGAGATTGGGTTTCAAACATTTTTTTAGATCAGGTAGCCCCTGTAAACATTCCTACTGGAGTCGTTCTCATCATCCTGCTGTTTTCTAGTGATGATGATCTTGACATTTATCATAAAATATTGATGATTAAATCTTAAATCTTTTGTCTCACCACACCTTATTTTTAGTAGTTTTTATGATTATTGCATTTATTTCTGCAAGAAAAGTATTATTGAATTATACATTTCTTAGAATTCTCAGGGACACCTGGGTGGTTCTCTCAGTTAAGCACCTGACTCATGATTTTGGCTCAGATCATGACCTCATGGTTCATGGGATTGAGCCCCATGGGATTGCTGAGAACACTGAGCCTGACTGGGATTCTCTCACCCCCTCTCTGCTCCTACCCTGCTCACACACATACTATCTCTCTCTCTTTCTCTCTCTCTCAAAATTAATAAATAAACATATTTAAAAAATAATTCCTGCTTAAGTTTCATTATATGTGTCATATTGTTCCCTTCTGTTCAAGTTGGGTCTTCTCTATAGTATAAAACTTAGAACATTGTAACACTCAGTAAATATTTTTAAATGGATAGATCTATAAATGTATAAATGAATAAATACAATGGTTGGAGGCTGATGCTTTATTTAACTGGTCTATCAATATTACTGCAATAAATAAAAAATCTAAATTACTTTTGAACTGTTAATTTTCTTATTGATATAATCTAGGCTAGAGCAATTCAAGCATTCATGTATGAAATATGCATTTTAAAATTTCCAATTTCTGTTCTATAACTTTTTGTTTGATTGTTGATTGTATGTTTGACCAAGAATAAATCAAAATAGTTTACAATGTTAGTCTTAAGTGTTTCAGCATAGCATACTGTACTCCTATTTGCTTATAATTTATGTACATTATTAGGAAAGTAAGTGCATTCATCAATGTATTCATTAATTCAGATACTCAAAAATATTCATTATAGGGTATATATATATATGTGTATATATATATATATATATACATATATATATATAACATCAAAAAGACTGAAAAGTACTTGCTTACATTTTGAAAGAAAAAATAAAATAATTTCTTGTAGTGATAAGTGCTCAGAAGAACCTAATATAATTTTTTCTAATATAGGATGATGAAAGCTTAATTTAGGGTAGCCAGGAAAATATTTGTTATTTATTTATTTATTTATTTATTTATTTAAAGAGAGAGAGAGCACAAGTGGGTAAATGGGGCTGAGAGAGAGAGAGAGAGGAAGAGAGAGAAAGAGAATCTTAAGCCACCTCCATGCTCAGCATAGAGCCAGACACAGGGCTTGATCCCAAGACCCTGTTATCATGGCCTGAGCTGAAATCAAAAGCCAGGTGCTCAACTGACTGAGCAAGCCAGGTGTCCCTTAAAAAAAAAAAA